TGTTGCAAGATGGCACAGTCGATTTCGTGCTTGGCACGCTGTAATTGGCTGCACTCAGTCATCGACAAGCAGATTCTTTGACTGGTGGTTCAAACGCTCTTTTCATGCTTTAAATATGCCCTTGGGCGTTCATCTTTCCAATGGTCGAATAAGAAGTTTGTTGAAGGATTTTACTGTTTAAAGGCAATCATCGAAGAGCGCCATCCATCAGCGTTCAAACTTATAATACAAATAAGTAATCATGAACAGAAGCTACTGCAAATCATTAGGCTATATAAAGCAGAGCTAATTTCACTACTACTCAAGTAAGTCAATGAACGCAGAATATTTTAGACGACAGCTACGTCGTATTTTGCGTAATAAAAATTGTTTTCTATCTGTTTGGCTGTCTCTGAGGATTCGTCCTGATGCTCGAACGATTTACTTCTCATAGAGCGCCGTTCTAACAGATGTGCTAAGACACTTGAAGTGAGCGGATGCACAAAAGGCGACTGAAGTAACTCAGCACGTTGTTCTACATACGAATGCACTGTTTAACTGTTGAACTGGCAACATATGATGCCGAATCGTTCAACGCTTTGGTGAGCATTACTTTGGAATAGCGTGCTCTTAGATCAAGGGATTCGATAGATCCTTCACAGGCGTACAGAGGCGAAATGCATCCGTCTACGAACCTGTTGATAACATCTTTGATACACACAGTTTCCTCAACCTTTTCTATAATACGATGATCTGCAGAGTCGATTTACTACACATTGGATAGGTTCATATCATATTTGTTGTATGGTCAGAAATGGAAATAACTATCATTGCGTTCAAGCAGTAAAATATTTAATGGTTCATATTCGTTCGTGTATAGTCACCGACCATATGACTCCTAATCATTTAATGTACTGCCCCTATGCTACTGATTTGTTGTTCCTGATTAAAGTTCTTGGTGTGAAAAAGCAATTGACACTCACTCGTTTGTTTTCTGTATGTTCAGGACAAGATCGATAGAGAAAAGATAAAAACATATGAATTATTTTCGTCCTTACGTGATCTCAGAGGATTAAGCATCGCGACACCTAAGCATTATCATGCGCTAGTCAAGTGGTGCCCCTGATGTAGCTGAACTAAACGGAGGTCTGTTGTTGATGAGTCAGTTAGTCAAATTTGGTTGAGTGAACAACCCTAAGGCATACGATAAATTGCATGAGCAACTTTGGCTGCGTCGATGCAGTAAACATTTAATATCAAGGAACGAAATTATGAGACGAACGGGACCCATTAAGCTTGATCGCCCTACAGTTTTACAAATTGATGAAAGGCGATTTAGGAGGTAGCATGAATAAAACATTCAGTGCCATGCTGGAAGACGCTCTTTTCATATGTTTAGTTCAGCTATATCTCCAATGTACCTTCGGTTGTATGGACTGCACATCAGAAAGAGAACATGGAAGTCCATCTGCTACAGGCTTTCTCATGACAGAACGATGATCGACGCCGTGTTCATAAATTCGCTGAAACGAACTCTCGACCTGTTTCAGGTGAATTTTCAGACATGAAGTGTACATGCAGGTCATCAACAGTTAAACACTACATCAAGTGCTTTCTAATGGTGGTGTCAAGCAACCATTTTGTCTGCCATGCTTGCCTCTGCAGCAATTACCATTCATCAGTTAGAAACGATATTCAGTGTTATTCGTTCTGTTATCTATATTTATTATTTTACTTTCCTGGTTAAAATTTTATGCGCCACAAGCTTCGGCTCGTACATCAGCCTATGTTCACAAACGTGAGGATCACTGTCAAACCTCATTAACATAATTAATTGAGCAAGTTAGTGCCATCATCAATAAAATGATCCGAGTTGTATCCAACACCGCACTTACTCAAATATTGTGGACTTCGATTTTCTTAAATCGTTTCTTGGAACATGCAGAAGTAAGCGGACGCTGCTATGCGCTGTGTAAGCCGCTTTAGGAGTCATTCACTTATTTCCTTACCTATAATATTTTGTACTCTCAAATCTGCTGAGGATAGGATCGGTCAACAATTACATTCAATCATCATATATGCTTTTTTGGTAGAGCGTCAGACTCGCCATCGAGAGGTATGATTTTCGAGCCCCCGTTAGGTCATTCGTCTTTCGTTCTTCTGAGGTAGATAAAATGTGCACCACTGCTTGGCATGAGACCTCATGGTGCCACCTCGCTGTAGTTAGAGGTTTAAATTGTTGGAATATTGCATTCTTTGTTGGTGACGTAGAAACGAAGATTCGCACGGTTCCATAGACCTGATGAAAGAATGTTACGAGAGATTTTATGGCCGTGAATGTTAATTCACGCAATTTTGTCAACTGTTACCAATGCGTTTTTTCTTTCGTTTTTCTAACTCACATTTGACGTTTAAATGGCAGACGCTTTTGTTCAGGAATTGCGCTAGAAATATTTTTTCGTTTCCTAGTTGTCTGTGCAGCCCTGCGTAGATCTTCATGCTTTTCACTTTAGGGTGCAGATATGTTGACATCGAGAGGCATAGATGGACTTAAACTTGAGGCTTAGATTTAAACTTAGCTTTATATATAACTCATTGCATAATATACCAAACTACTGTCTGATGAAGTACTTAAATGTGTTTTGCTTGAATAACATCCTATGACATCTACTTTTCAGCAAAGTAAAAGTTTAGACAGACAGAACCTGACTGTCAAGTAAGATGAGGGTTGCGTTATGCACTCCTCTGCGCAACACAAATTTTTCGCCACCCTCACCCGTTAATCGCGCCCTATTAATCACGAGCGTACACCACGTGTATACTGTAGTACATTAAAACGTTGGAAAGGTCTTTATTTTGATTTCTGTTAGTTTCATTCACAGGACGCTCACAAAAACCAGGTTTCCATACGTAACTATTAATGCAAAGTAATATAGTATAAATCACATAAAAAATGGAAAAGTAGAAAATGTCTAATTTAGCCGTCAGACCTTCCTTATGAAACTATTGAGGCAGTACTGAATAGGGACTTTTTCTACCCTTCAGAAATCAGGCGGTGAAACTAAAACTTCGTCCGTCTCTCGTTTTTGACTTTTATGAACCGTGAGGCATTAGGATCTATTTTCTTTAATCGTGTGATTGCCAACTATTGAGTCACGAAAAGCTTCGATTCGTCTTCTGGTTCTCAAGCCTCAGTTTCAGTAACTTTTGCTGATTCTGATTCAACCAGTTCTTCGTTATGACGTTCATGCCCCTTTGCGGTCTGTGACGTTTTCGTACAGACCACTGGTTGGTGTCAGCGCTTGGTCCTGCAGTCGCCACATTGAATCTGTATAATAATTGCGCAGTGGTCAGCTACATCAATTGCGTGATTCAGCCCATTATACCGTATATCAATGGATAGCTGTCTATGAATGAAGTACGATGCCGTTGTCAAGCCAGTGAATTTCTTATTGCAATTCTATCGTGATGACCATGCGATGCCAATACGTCAGCGCGCAGTCTGTGGTCACAGGTTTGAACCTGTGTCATCGGCTGACGTCAGTGATTTGACTTCGCCCATCAAGCTGCCTTATCACTGGAAAGTTTTCTGCGAGTACAGTGGCGATGCCGCAGTCGAAGTATGAATACGGATGATTTGAATTTATTTCATGATTCCATTGTGGTGACTGCGCGAAGTCTCTATGTCAGCGTGTTGTTACTTGGTCCGGAGTCGGAGTTGATATAATTGCAGGTGATTATCAATTACTTAATTTAATCCCTCGCCATGTACATCGTTCGTGAGCACAAGATGAAGCTTTCGTCATAACTATCGATCTCAAAGTTGGCATCTTCGTCCGACGACTTCAATGTGGCAATTACGGCGAGGTTATTAAATCGGCTAACATTATCAGTATCGAGTTTAAATTTATGCAACTTTCAGAGGAATATCCTCGTTTAATATTAAAGATAACGATAACGGATTGCAACGGCGAAAATGAGCGGTGTAAGGAAAGAAAAATATATCTGTTATTTTATATCAGCTGCACTGCTGCACCGCTTCCTTATTTTTAGTCGCCCAGGGGACCATTTAATCAGTGACCATGGCTCCGTGGTATTTAAGCGCCTGCATTGCAAAAGGCCGCATGTACGTTGTTTCTTTACACTGCCATTTTGGCCGTTGCAATCCGCCTTCGTTACTTGTAATATCATATATTTAAAGATGGTGTCGAAAGCTACCCCAGAACATCGGGATTGTTTTATATCGACTGTGTCTACGAAGGGAGTATGCTGATTCACCTGTCGATTGCTCAATATGTGAATTTAGAAAATTCAAGGCTATTCTGTGATTACTTCAAAGTAACTGCGTCAAGTTAGTAAGTCGGTGGACAGTCATTTAGCCGAGGATTAGAATCTCTGCAGTCTTATATTTCAATTCCCCTTTTTCTTTGTCTTTAAATACGTTGTTTGGCGATAAGTACTTCCTTAAGGACACACCGCAAACTCCAATTAAATATTCGAATTCCTGGAATTTTTATTTAATCATTCAATTGTGTGCAACCATACAGCCAATGGGCTATTATCACTGCGATTTAACCACTGTTACGGTTAAACGCATGTTGCGCCCTTCACGAATATCAGGTGTGCGAGTCACAGTATATCATTGAGGATGACGATACCGCTATCGAAACCAGTCAAACTTGTCATCAAAATTAAATGGCTTGCTGAAGAAAGAATGGATGCGACCATAGAAATCATCAACGAGTGCAGAGTTCAACTCTCGTAAGGAACTCAGAGTTCGCTTCAGAATTTTCCTGCTTTTAAGAAATCTTCATAATAAGAAGGAACAACATGAGCTCTGCTCCACCAGCTCCTCTGAATTTGATTCTACCGGAATGGCATGAAAAATACGAGCCACAATCAGATGCTTTTGAACAATTCCTGATTTTCGACAGTGGATATGGACCTAGCTGTATACTGTATACTGGCACTCAGGGAAAGCTGCAGATCCTCAGACTCGAGAACGTGGTTTGCACATGGAACATTTCGACCTGCACCGCCAACACAAAATGTAGTAATGGCAGAAAGGTTTAATTGTGTCCATCCTATTGTATAGGAACTTTAGCCAAA